ATATATATATATATATGCATCATGGTTTATGCAATTTCCAGAGAAAATGGACAGGATCGAAGAGGGGATGGATCAAATAAACGCGGACATGAAGGAAGCGGAGAAGAACCTTACCGGCATGGAGAAATGTTGTGGTATTTGCGTGGTGCCTTGCAACAAGTAAGTTCTAACCTATATTATTTCCCCGTAACAAAATTATTGGCTYGTAATCAAATAAACACTTGTATACGCGGTGTACTGGTGTCTCGGTGGAAACTGTACAAACGGTGTATAAAAAACATTAAACACGAAACCCTCTCGACAACTAATGCGTTTTATCTTTTGTGTACATCCAGGGGAAAATATCATAAATCGAACGGTTTGGCACTTCGACCTACAAGACGAAATCCTATTTCGAATCCGATCCAAAAAAAAAAAATACACTCGAGTGAATTTTATCAATAATTTATATTTGATTTCAAACGAAGTAATACAATTTTCCGGTAAAAGTACGAATGATGTATCCATTATAGATTTTTATATTTATTTTTTWWTTTTTTTTATTGAAAACAATAAGTAGTTAAAAGTTAGTAACGAACAAGTAGTAACATAATTATTATGTAACTAGTCGTTATTATGACATATTAGCTCGAAATAAAATGCAATTAGGTATATTCATTTTCTAAAAAAAACAGCATCGATCTAATATGATATAATATTGATTTACACTCCGGTTTAACATATATACGACATAAGTATAGTTATAAATTTATATTTTAATATGCTCCTGACTACAATATAGTATAATATCTTTTTATAATTAGCACAATTGAATTTCTCAAAAAATTCTCAAAATCAATATAATATACATCATATGATATTATGTACCTATTGATAAAATTAAACGCAAACATGTGCAGCATTACTTACCATCATATGAAAGTAGAAAACCACAATATAGTAACACTAAGTGWTCTTAAAGTTTTTCGGATACATAGTTCGCGTACGTGCGTATATTAAAAATAGTAAACAMAAATAATTGCGTTACAGAAACACAYCACATATAAAGGTTTATTAATYATCGATTAAAAACCTCGACGAGAGTGAAAAAATGATTGACAGTCAATTTCAATCAATCAGACAGATGTCACTGATCATTATTGCCTGATGTGCAGGTCCTGGAGTTTCAATGAACCGTTTCTGTGTAAAAATCCTATCTAAATTACAATGTTAAATGTACCGCAYTGAAACGTCAACGATATGATAACTTTATCGATGGTCATAAATTTCGTAATATTAACTCACAGCAGAAATCTTTTTTTGCGCTTCATTCTATAATATTATATACCCTCAACTATGTATAGGGCGATTAAAATTATATTT